AAGGTAAGGGAACAGATGAGTTTGCTGGTCGAAAGATCATATATGATTACCTTTGTATGGGTCCCCTCACATTGCTCAATCCCAGGCAATGAGAAGGCAGACTCTCTCGCAAAGGTGGGCGCACAACAAGGCGAGATTTATGATAGAAGAATTTCACATGATGAATTTTTCCCATTAGTACGTCAGAGTTCTCTTTTAAGTTGGCAAAACGATTGGACAAATAATTCTCTTGGGCGGTGGTTACATTCCATTATTCCAAATGTTTCTTCGAGAGCGTGGTTCAAAGGTCTGGATGTAAGTCGGGGATTCATTCGAGTGATGTCAAGACTTATGTCCAACCACTACTCGCTAGACGCACATCTCTATAGAATAAACCTCGTTGACAGCAATATATGTAGGTGCAGAACCGGTTATGATGACATCGATCACGCAGTTTGGTATTGCCCGGGTAATGACGCCTCCAGAGCACGACTATTGGATACCCTAGTGGCCCGAGGTAGACAACCCTTCCGTGAAGTAAGAGATGTATTGGGAACACGTGATCTTCCCTACATGCAAGCGATCTACGAATTCCTTTGTTTGTCTGATGTTAGAGTTTGATGTGACTATCCCCTCCTTTCCAAACAATTTCCCGCCATTGTGTCCCAGTCTTATTATCCTCCTGTTCCTGTGCTACTTGCCCCTGCCCAGCCAGGATTTGGTCAACCGTCCGAGAGTAGTATCTGAAGGAGGCTTCAGAAACCAGTTTCCTACCTAGATCCTTCCAATTAAAATTGTTACCTATTAACCTCGAGCCCGCCACGAGTAAGTGGTACCCAATACTAACCTAGAAATACTGCTATTTAAAATGTAAATCAAACATTACTGATTTTGGCTCCGCAAAGTGTCACACACGACTGAGCCTAGTAAATAAACGAACTAGTTAAAAAAAATGTATTAAATTTAAATTAAATCAATTTATGGGAAACACTTCCTAAGTAGATACTATTTGAATTCGCCCTTTTGGCTTATCGCCAGGCTTAAACGATCGTTGGTCTGTGATGAAAAGGGCTCGGTGGCATAATTGTGACCATTTTTATTTGCTGAGCAGATGATGGTGAATTTAAATCCCAGGCCCCTTTACATTACTGAGTTCATAGGATTGCATTATTTCCGTATTATCCTGCTTTTCAGGCTTTAAACGATCGCATCATTTTCCAAAATAAATTCAGACCTAATTGGCATCCCCTGAGAATGCACCAGATGTTTAATATTCTGATGTTGGCACCGATATGAAACAAATGTCTTTAGTATGAAAACATTTGAAATGTTGGAAATGTTTTGCGTTTTAAAAGGAATTGTGATTAAATTAAAAGTCAATTTTGATCAGACATGCAAAGATATTTCAAATGTAGACTATCAAGGACTCTACAAACATTAACTGTGGAAAGTCGTTCACAAACGTCGAATTGTTTTCATGTCTACGTCAGTGTTATTCAATACGATCCTGATCAAGCATTTGGCCCCAAAGCCGTATTAAGGAATACAACAATATTTGCGCCCAAACCATCACTTTTAGGTAAGGGAAATGGATCTTATGTTGGCCTATGGATCTAAGATTGGGCCCATCACTAAAAATCTGCTATGTATCAATTTTATCTAGATTAACGCTTAATTGGGACGCGTTAATTGGTCGCTATTAAAAATTTAGTCGATTGCAAATTAGGGGCATTTAGGTTGGCATTACATCCATTTCCCCTATCTTTTTGTGTTAGTGAATTTAGGGTGGTCTATAAAATTGGTGAATTGAAAATACAAACTTTTTTATTATTTGAGATAGACCAATGCAGTGTTCTAAAAGTTGTAGAACAATCAATTTAAAGCAACTTCAGAAAATTTCTATCTCTTATGGTTCATGAGTTATGATTATTTTAAACAAGCAGGTTAGGGTGGCCCCTAGAAAATTGGTTTTCTTAAAATATCTTTTATTACGTTCATTTCTCGTAAAACATTGCTGTTGTTACATTTAGAACTTTTCATGACGCAATTTTTTGCCAAAGCAACCCGATTGCTATCTTTTTTGATTAGAAAGTTAAAGGCGATTTACTTCGATTCGACCCCAAATTACAAAAAAAAATATAACTGTGTATATTTTTCCCACAATTATTTCACTTTTCATAACAAGTTTGTGTCACTTTTCATAACAACTTTTCGGTCAGAAGTGACGTTTTAATGCTACAATTTATTGATTTTACCGTCGCCAGGAAGGAACCTATCGACCCACTCATGGACCGGGGACACAACGACTTTACTTCGGCGTGATCAGATATTTTATGCCTCAGAAAATCCCGACGATGTCGACTGGGATTCAACCCAACCCCTTGGAGTGAGAGGCAATAACACTTACCACTACATCACCAGCGCCGATACAATTTATTGAAAAATGTCAAAGACGTCATTTTGAAAAATAATTCAAGATGGCCGAATTTTTGCAAAAATGTAAATGATTAATCAAAACACATAATTTCATGCAAGTTTCATGAAAATCGGAGAAGGTCGAGTCTTTATTTTTTTATGTTTTTATCCTATTTCATTTAGCATGAAACTGGTCTGGCTTTTTGCAGTTCTGCAGTAGTCGTAGAATATCAAATTTTCTTGTAGTTCTATGCAGTTCTAAGCGTTTAAGAAGATCGAAAAGTTCTTTGATATACCGTTCAAATTTTGCAGAGTTCCAAAATTTAATAATTGCTGAAGCTACAGAAGCTCCTTTTTGAGATTCTTTGGTAAAAATTACTTAAGATTTGAAATATACTGGAAGTTTTGAAAGTTCTAAGACTATCCAAATTTATTTTTCTCATGATTTCTAAGGGTTACTAGAATTCCAGGAGTTCCAATAGTTCTAAGAGTTCTTGATTTGTGGGAAGTCGAGAAGATTTGGAACGCTTTCAAAGTGTTTTAGTGCTCTTTAACTATTTTGTTTCTATTACTTCTGCGTGAAGTTATTCCAGACGAAACTAGAACCGCACTACCGTTCATACTGGCGACAACGCTCTGATGAGACAACGAAACCTTACCCCAAGCTCCTACCCTGATCATATCTTTCGACAATGTACCTCTCTAACCTCGAGTACGCCGCGAGTATTCGACCCAACTCCTACTAGACATAGAATTAAGTGAATTTTGTTACTATTGGCTCCGTAGAGCTAACGCGATTGAGCCTTCCAAATAAACGAACTAGATAAAAAAAAATGATTTACATAGTTGAAGATGCTACGCGTCAAATAACATTTAAGTCTGTTGTCATTTTATACGATAGTATACGATGCTCGCTTTCTTCTCTCTATATACAATTTTCACCCTGCCGTACTTTAACGGAACTATCAACTCTATGCTTTCATCTCCTGATCTATCGTATAAAATGACCATTTAAGGAATTCTAAAGTTGCTTTGGAAGTATTTACTGTTTTCAACGATTACATTACTTTGGGCTTAGAAGAGTTTCTAGAGTTCCATGCTTGTATAGTGGTGTATAGTGGTGCCGGTGGTGTAGTGTCATGGATACAAAAATTAATTAAGTGGAATTAAATGGAAGATAAACCCTTTTGCTGTTTTATTTAGCATTCCGCTAACAACCCAATTTCATTACTTCATTATGATGGCTACCAAGCCTTTGGGGATTTTCCTTATTAGAGATTTGTATAGATTTTTCTCCTTTAGCTTACTTAAATCTTTGGTTTTTATTAGTTAGGTAGGTTCCGATTCAACACATTGTAGTTTCATTTTTATACCTATGATCTTGACTTTTTTACCTAGGGGATGAGTACTTAAGGGGGTTAGATTTTGATAAGTTCTTTAGTGGGAATGACACTGATGAAGACTGCACATTGTAGTCGAAATACGTATCTGTCATGGATACAAAAATTAATTAAATGGAAGATAAACCCTTTTGCTGTTTTATTTGGGAAGTAAGTAATTTCAGAGCTGCTTAAATTCTAGATTAGATTCTGAAAGATTTTAGAATATGAACAGTATTGGGAAACACTGAAGCTTTGAAAAACCTCTCAGTTCCCTCTATCGAGGGTATTGTAACCAACCGCTTGGGGCTTTAACATTTCAAAGATACTAATAACTGCTAGAAATAAGGACTAAAAATATAAAAAATAAGAGGATACGAAGCTCTGTAAAATAAAAATAAAAAAACTTCGAAAATATGTAATTCATGAATGCTTAAAACTTCAGTTTCACAGTTATTTTAGTAAACTTTTTTCGAAAATCCGGAAGCTTCATCAGCTCTATTAGATCTTGAAATAGTAAGGCACTGTCATTCCTGTACAAAGAGTGTAATTTCCGAATCGAGAGTGATGAGTGAAGTAAACTCAATAATTTGAACAACCCTATTACCCATATTCACCTACACAAACACGTGCAACTCTTATCTAGATTCTATTCCAATTTTGCAGCGAAAACTTTCCTCCATTTCGATACAAACCGCTTCCGCATTAGCGCAGCATTGAAGTTATGAATGTTCAGCTTCCCGATATGCATATATGTACACGAGCATCAGCACTCATTCGTAAACGCGCTCCAGATAGCCATGAATAGAAAGGAAGCGCCCAATAAAAAAAAAACTCAAAAACTCCTAGCAGTAGCAATTCGATTAATACATATTTCCACCAGGATAAGCATCTCTTTCTCAGCAAGCCATGGATGCGCTTGGTAATAGGTACGTGCTAAGCATAACCACTCGCGTTTTTTACATCGTTATCAACCAACCGTATTCGTTCTGATTCTTCCGATTCATCCGTTGGTTCTTGATCTGCCGCACCGTTTTAACACGCATACTGGTGCTGCTGCTGCTGCTGCCGTTTTTTCTCCACCGATCCTCGTCGTCGTTATTCCTAGCCGATTCCGCCAACTCGATTGCGTTCTTCTTCACAATTATATATTAGTTCATTTTCCAGCCTTTCCACTGCACTGAATATACCTCCGCACACTAGCTATGTATGTATCCCGCTAAAGAAAAAAAAAAACACTGGAAGAAAAACACGACGCGACCGACCGCAAATTAGTTCGTTTCGTTTATGATTTCATTTTTTCGCCTACTCGTTTGAAAGCAAGTGTTTCTGTTCTCAAAGCTATGGTATCAAGGAAAATAACTCCGAGGTAGAGAACGCTCGGTTCGAAATAAGCAGGCCGTTTTTGAAATTGCAAAAGTTACACAAATGTGGCCACTTGGATAAAATAGTGATTAAGTTAATTTATGAGCCAAAGATGAGATTTTCTCCCTCCACTGCCGTCGTTGTCCGGGTTACCGGGTGGGATAATTTCGCAGCCTTCTCCGGCAGACCCAACAGTGCGAACAGTAGCTCAGGTTTGTTGTTATTTTGTTGCATTAAAGTTCCCTAGAAGCACAGACAATGGCTACGGCAGTGTGTGGCTGGGAAACTGTACTCCAATTTGAGGTGGAAAATCCAGCAAAAAACAGATCACTTTTGTTCGAATCACCAGTCGTCAGTGGTGTTCACTTTTGCGCCCCCGGAGTGCTTTGATTTTTTTTTCACTTCTATTCACTCACTTCACAACCGCGAAAAAAATATACGAGAAAGTTATCACAATCGTAATTCGAGTTAGCTCAGAGTCGGATACGCGTTTTTCTCGTAAATTACATTCAACCGCACAAACGGTCGGTTCAGGTGATTGGTGTGAGAAAATGTGATTCGGAAGGGCTCGTCGGTCGAAACGCGTGGTGGTGTGCCGATTTTGAATCGCTACTTCTCTGTGATTAGGATTTAATTCGTTTTCGAAAATTTAATTCGATTTTCCTCTTTGTGATTTTGGAACGCGACAAAGCATTGGTCCTGCTGCTAGTGACGAGCTAAAACAACAACGCTGACGACGACGGCGCAAGTTAAGGTACGCGTGGTGTTACTTCACTGGTTTCTCAAACTACAATACCATAACTACGACCGCTTTTTCGTTCGTCTGGCTGCCCCCGGTCTTTTTTTTGCTGCTTCTGGCTTGCTTCGATGGTTTGCTTTCATCCAACTCTGGGGGTAAAGTTGGGCTTATGTTAAACAATTGATTTAAATTTCACATTCCAGTGATTTTGATGTGGAAAAAGTTATTAACAGTAGAGTGGAAGAAGGCGGTTTACACATACTGTCAAACACCGGAGCTGCCGGAGCGCGGAGCAGCCAGGGAAAACATTGAAGGTGGTTTGCGGATGTGAATTTGTGGACGAACGACGACGAGAACTACTAATGGCAAAGCAGAGACCGAAAGAAGTTAGAAAAAGATGTGCCATAAAGTCAGGTGCTTCCGCTTCGAAAGCATTCTGTGGTCACAGAGCGGCAAGGGTGCTAATCCGTAGTGTTTCTTTTATTAGTGTATGCCTATCGGATTTCAATCAGCGCCTCTATTGAAGACACATGTGTGACTTCGGTCGGTGGAGACACGTGAGTGAGCCCATATGAATAGAAACTGTGAAGTTCAGCTGCGATGATGATAGAAGTCATTTATCCCTTTTACAAAACAATCTGGAATATATATCGAACGAGCATTATTTTAAAATTTATTGATTATTGTGTAAAGCGTTTTCTAAAAAAAAAACACATGTTTGCCTTTCTTGTCTTTCGAGGTAAGGTAGGGTCAAATATCAATCGACTCAACTCGACGAGATCGGAAAATGTCTCTGTGTGTTTTTGTGTGTGTTATACCATTGTGTTTATTTGGATGCAAACTCATACTGCACTGGCCATTTGAAGTTTATATGGGAAGTACTATCGTAAAAGTGAACTTTATGTCTTAACGTCCTAGCACTTCGTTATAATTTACGGAAAAGCTTGCTACCTACTCATATGTGAAATTATATCAACTAAAACGTTCCTGAAGCCTCCTTTTTGATTAGACTTCAAGGTAATTAGTTATTGATTGATTTCGCAGCCGGTAACTTTCTGATATGATTAATCGACTACTTTCAAGGCAACACTGCATCTTGCACTTTTGACATAGTAGTAGGGCAAACACTATTCTTCGCACCAAGCACACCAATGTTGCCTGCTGAGCAGTTTATGGAGCATGTCAGAAGAATATTATCTTCCTAATTAATTAATAACTAACTATCCTGACGTTCAATCCAAATGCGGTCTTGAGCAAAGTTGCAGGTGAAAATTTTTCACATTAGTACAGATAGCAAACTTTTCCGCAGATCTTTACAGCGAAGGGCTAGAACAATGAGAACAAAAAGTTCAATTTTGCCATAGTAAATCCCATATAAACTTCAAAAAGCCAGTGCAGTTTGAGTTCGCATTCAAATGAGCTCAAATGTTGAGTGAATTACCAGGACCTGATTTGAAATCAATTAAACTTGGTGTAGCAAAATCGATATTTTGAACCACTCTAATATGCATGTATGTATATTAGACTGATGCAAAATTTGAAGTTTTCACTCCATAGTGCTCAAACGGTTCCAAATTGGGCCCTGATTAGCCTCCCGAAATTTGAACTCATTTAGTAAGAAACTGACTTGGCACAAACCAATTGTTGTTTATATGGGAATTACTATGGAGAAACCATAATTTCGGTTCATATCTATCTCAAAATTCACCAGTTCACTCTACTTTAGAAAAAGATAGCTGGACTTGTTGAAAGCTACAACTATGTTAAAGACCACTTTTCGATCAAATGTAAGGAACAAAAGATATTAATGATTCAAGTCACTGATGTCTTATGATTATGCTCAATCAACTGTTCAGCAGGCAACATTGGTGTTTATGGCGCGTAGAATAGAGGACCCACAATACAGTTGCTTAATCTTGTCATAAGATTATCAATCTCTTAAACAATTAATAACTATTTAATTTGACGTTTGGCTGAAAAACGAAACAAAGTTGTAGCTGATAAAAATTCCCATAAGAATAGCAATAGAATTTGTTAAAAGTATAATATGTAAAAAGGCTAGAACACAATGAACAAAAAGTTTTGTTTTCCCATAGTAATTACCATATAAACTTCAAATGGTTAGTGCCAAGTCAGTTTCTCACTAAATGAGTTCAAGTTTTGGGAGGCTAATCGGGGCCCAATTTGAAACTTATTGAGCACTGTTGAGCGAAAATTTAAAATTTTGCATCAGTCTAATGTATATGCGTAATTTACTCACTTTTTTTTTCGGAGATGGCAGGATGGCTTCAAATATAATCGCTACCTTATTGAAGTGAACCTTTTTTTGAACAACAAAGTAAGATTTAGGTAGAAAACTATGTTATTATCCCACTTTTCTCGGGTATGGATGGACGGATCCGAATGTAACCAGTTGCATTTTGTATCGCTGTATCTGACTCCTATAAAAACTTATTGCATTTTATCCCGATTGGACGTTTGGTTGTGGAGATATGACCAAAGAAGTTAAATTTCGCTATAAAACTATATTTATTATCCCAGATGGCAAGGCGGATTTAAGTCGATTTCAGGACCAGATGCATTAATGTTATCGTAGGAGGACTTTTCAAATGATCTTACCTAACATTAATATTAGCTTCTATTTTTTAAAGAAAATATATTATCACGAATACATAAAATCTCATCAAACCAATTAAATAATCTAACAAAGGTTTTGTTCGAAAAACTTGACCCTGGTAAAAGCTGCTTGTTCACTACCCCGAGCAGGAGAAAATAACTAATGAATACCTAATTCTGATCTGATACCAAAATTTGGTGTTGATCAGCATTATATAATAGGTAAAATACCAAAGAATAATACCAAAAAATTGCATGCAAAATTCTTTGTAAATAACAAAAATTAATATTTGGATACCAAAATAATACCTGTGTGGTATTTTTGTGGTATTACAATTGTATAATTTGGTATTGGAATGGTATTGTGGGAACACTTTTTTTTTTGTATTTTACTTCTTATTATTTAGTTTTATTTAGGAGGCTTTCAGCCTTAGGCTGGTTCGCCTCCGACACTATTTTACTTCTTATGTCATGCTGATTCATACCAATTTAAGGTATCGAGATATTTGTTCCTGCTCGGGAGGCTGTGTTAATAATAATATCTCAAAAAATGTCTACGAATAACGAACAAAAAAATAACTGACAAATACAAAACGCTTTTTCGATGACAGAATACCATAATTTGTTGTATAAAATGACTTCTAATATCAATCCAACAGCTCTTTGAGATGTTATTGTGTTAAAACTGCTATTTTGGTATTTATTTGATATCAATAATGAATAATATTAAAACAAGCTCACCAAAGTAAGATATCATACCACATTAAGATATTCATATGTTATCGGTTCCTGCTTCGGGATAGCTCTCTTAAGAAATGTCTATAGAGGACTTTACCTAGACAATTAGAAGTCGTGTAACAATGTAAAGATAAAATCGTAAAATACTACGAATTTAATCCAAATCGCATATAAGAATGATTTTCATCGTAAGTTTCATCGTATATAATGCAAACTGTTGGCCTTTATACGATATATCAATCATTATTATCAATAGAATTAGGGATCAACAACAACCTTAAAGATTATGGGATTACAGACAATTATTTGGAAATCAAGAATCTTAGACAAAGGGTCTCCAGATGTTGGTTTTTATCAGACCTGTGTAGTCGGAATCGATAAAATCTTTGAGCATAAGGAGTCGGAGTCAAAGAAATAGTACAGACTTCGACTGCGACTGCTATGAAAAATAATTTGAAACTAGAACCTAATTTCGTCTACGTGCATTTTTTTGGATCATGATCGATTCGATTGAAATTGAAGGACTATCGCGGAATTAGCATGAACCGTCTATGCAATACTGATGGTCGTGCTCTAATCAATCTTCTCATACTACAGTTCAACAGTTGAACTTTCAACGTTTTTTTTTTCAACCTTCACATTGGCATGATGTAAAATAATAACTATTTTAAAATAAATACGATGTATTAGGTAGGGGAAAAGTTGGCTTCAGCAATACCTTAACCTATTATCGTCAGGGGGTAAACAACGTCCTTGAAAGCTCAATTTTGGCATGTGGATACATTGTGTTTCAGAACAACTATTGGTCAAATTTGAGTGCTCTAGGACTTTATTTACCCCCCTGACGATAATAGGTTAAGGTATTGCCGAAGCCAACTTTTCCCCTACATAACGATATTAATCTATTTATTTTTGGAGCAACTAGTAGGTGAGACGAAAATATAGAATATTAAATAAATGAATTTAAATTATTCATATTTGAAATTTATAAAACTTTTGATCGCTGCATTATTGCAAGCGTAGGAGGGCTCTGCTTTCGCTGATGATATCAATATTTTTGTACTTAATGCTAGAGAATTTGACACGATTCTCGTTCTCATAAACTATTTCAGTATTTACTCGAAAGTGAAACTGAATATGCAAAAATCCCAGTTTTTAAGATTTAACAACTGTGTATCAGGCCAGTTAAAAGAAGTAGACGAAATGTAAATTCTAGGTGTACTCTTCACCAGTGTTGTGAAAATATCAAAAGATCTAATCTCACCAATGTGCATAATCTCATTTGAGTATCGTAGACCAAAAACTCAACACGCAAACAACAGCAGATGATATTACAAGCTGTGATACGGTTGCTATGATATCATGCTAACAAAACTCCCCGGCTACAATTCTCACCAAACTGTGTTGAGTTTGAGCTTCAAGATTTTTGCTGTACATCCGAACACGAAACGAAACTTCCATCACTGCTGGCAACAGTAACTTCGTGTCTGCCATCGTAGAAAGCGTAAAGAAAGATAGCAAACTATGCTTTCTCTTTCTAAGAAAACGATGTGCAAAGGAATCATTTTTGTGGTAAGTCGACTCGTGGCTGCAATTTTACATGTTCTGAATAGTCTCGCAATATCAAAGGAGCTTGTAAAAACAATATCATGCTTGATATT